TGAAGTCACATTTACTGGAACAACGTAGGTCACACACATTCACAAGTAGACAGTTTAAGGCAGGTGTTTTTGAGGAGGAATGCACAAATAACCTGAAACTCTGTAACTCAAAAAAGTACTATATGTTTGAGTATAACCAGACTTTATTACTGTAGATGCACATATACATTTAAGTACTGTATGTTCATCTCTCTGTCTCTCATGCTTTTCTCTCTTGTTTCTATTTTCTTGTTTCATTTCTCTCTCTCTCTCTCTCTTTCTCTTTCTTTCTTTGTCCAATTTTCTCTTTTTTCTCTATTTGTTCTTTTATTCTCTCTCTCTCTCTCTCTCTCTCTCTCTCTCACATATTTTGATTTCAGAAAAGTACCATATTATTATTTTGATTTCAGCAGTAAAATGGAAGCAGAGACTGAGCAAGATTTTAACATATATGCTGTAGAGGAAGCATGTGGGAAGCTACATACCCTCCTTCAAGCTCCACCAACACTGCCTGGCAGTTTGTCTTCAGATGAGACCATACAGACTCATGATGTGTTCAACATACTTATGGCAGATGTGTCTGGTTCCATGTCATCATATTGGGAACATGTGGTCACTGGCTGGCAAGATCACATTAAGGATAAACTAAATGGTAAGTTTTTTTGTGTTTTGCTTTTTGAGATTTTTTTGCTTAATTCTACCTGTAGTAGTTCTCTGCAATAAAATATTACATTAAGATTATTATCCAGAATCTAATGTTTTATGTTCTTTATCATTCTAGGTCTCACAAAAATTTTTGTATTTGGAAGCAATGTTCAGATGCGGCGAGTTGGATCAGATCTTTATAGTAAAGATTTTGTTGGGTCTGGAACAGATCTGACTTCTGCTTTGAGAACTGTTCGACTTGAAGTGGAAGACTTGTTAAAAAAATTATACGCGTGTTCATTATCACAGATGGTCAACATGGACATGGTGAACCATATCCAGACACTGAAATCAGTCTCATGAAGGCTCCAGTAGGGAAATCAGTCAGTGTTTATCTGCTAGGGATTAGTGAATATTTTCCTGTGGAATATAGTATCAGCATACGTTCATATTTACATAATGGAAATGCTAATATGCCATCCCTTTTTTGGGCTAAAGATGAATCTGAGATTGTTGAGGAAATAGCAAATATTGGCAATGAACTGAATGCTGGCCTTGTGACGCTAACCTTAAATCATCAGGGTCATATCCTCCCAGGCTTAAGCAAGACAAACGTGATTCATCTTGGGGAATGGCTGTACTTTGATGAGCCTCCAGAAAATCTCCCTCCGCTTACTGTAAAGGTGGATAAAGAAGAACAGCCATTACCTTTTACATACAAAGATTTGAGCGTACGTGTACTCTTGGACAGCACCTTCCGCCAGTGGAATTCTGTGTTGATTCAGCAACATAGAAAGAATGAGCATGTGCCTCTTGAGACCTTTGATCTAATGGATTCTCTTTTTAATAAATATTATGAAGACCTTAAAGCAAAGTTGGTTGATGGTAATGATATTCGAGCTCGAATTTTGAACAAGAGAATAAAGGGCAGCAAGATAGAGTATGCAACTTTAATGAATCAAAGTAAAACAATTATTGGCATTGAGGGAAAGTATCAGACTGAAATAGAACTAGCAGAGAGTATCTTAAAGACCACGGTTACTTCAAGAAAATATGATTCAAGGAATCTGAAATTGAAAGGTCATGGACAAGATGATTATGCGAATGATGTTCAGGCATTCAGACAGCTTTATGAAAGCCTGAAGGATCAGATTCTGGCTTTACCTCCTGATGAAGGCTGCAGAATCTTATTAAAGTCTACTTTGCAGGACTTGCAGGATCCTAATTTTACTATGTTGCTGGAAGAAAATAAGTTTGATTTGTTGAAAACTTTTTCTATAACAGGTATACCTGTTTATGCTCCCATCCGTGATGCTTCACAGATCAATCCATGGACAATGGTTATAAGGCATATACTTGTTGCTCCATTCACAATTCTTAGTCATACAGTTCTGGAAGCTTCTGCTGATACCACTCAGGATTTTGAGAGTTCTGAAGATAAAGCTGTCTTACTGACGCAGGATGATGAAAAGACTCGATTCAATATCATTGTGCCTGTTGTGCCAGCACATGCAGCTGAAGTTTTGAAACCACTAGTGCAGTCCAATTTATATGCCATGATGGCAACATTCTGCGTTCTTAAGAATCCTCACATAATAGACTATGATGCCCATCTAGCAGCCCTTGGTTGTACTTGGATGAGGACAGTTCGGGAGTTTCCTATCTCAAATCGACCAGAGTATGTCAGTGAGCGATTGCAAAACATTGTCTCCACAGCAAATATATACATGAGCCGTCCTGGGGTGAATCTCTATGTCAATGCCCTTTTGAATAATCCCAATCAAGCCCTTATGACAGAGAGCAAAGATGAGTTTCATGGCCGCACTCTTAAATGTGAGTCTCTTATCAAACCTTTATTCTTTCTGGGTCTTAATAAAGACAAAATCACGAGGACTCAAGCACAGAACATTTTGACACTGGTATTAGAGGAATTCATTGGACGTTGTCTTTGCAATTATAAACATGATGATGCAGAAGCTACACCCTTCACTGATTTCTTTGCTCCTGAGTTGAATGATCCAGAGAAGAAGAAGGCATGGCTGGAGCAGTATTTCCAGGTAAGATATATAAGTTGTAATCTTGCTCAATAGTTATCCATTTATTTTTTTTTATTTTTTTTTTAAGCAATTTGATTTTTTAAGTACATATAGTAGTTCTGTTTGGAAGGAATATGTAATTAGCATCCTCATCTTCTTCAGGGGGTTATAGAAGAATTTGAATCATCTCAAGGTGATCTTCTCAAAGCATTCTTTAGCCTTGATGACTTGAGAGCCAGTATCAAGAAATTTATTGCTCAGAAAATGTCTACATTATATGATCAAATTCTGGAGGAGATAAAGATTGGTTTAACCATGGAAAAGGTAAGTGTCCTATGTATGATTATAGTAAGAAATGCCTATATGTTAATGATTATAGTAAGAAATGCCTATATGTTAATAATGACATTTATGATACTATAGACAAGGTGAAATTATATATTTCTATAATAACTTTTTATTTAACGCTCCTAGATTAAAAAGCTTAGGAACTTTGGGAGCTGTGGTGACATAATGTGGCCATCCTTTAAGTGCTGGGCAGATGAGATAGGGATAACGGAGGAAGCCACGACACTAGCCTTCAGTGAAGAACAGGTAATACAAATATGCACATGCATGCACTCACACTCACTCTCACTCACACACTCACACTCACACTCACTCACTCACTCACTCACTCACTCACTCACTCACTCACTCACTCACTCACTCATACACTCACTCATACACTCACTCACTCACTCACTCACTCACTCACTCACTCACTCACTCACTCACTCACTCATACACTCACTCACTCACTCACTCACACTCACTCACTCACTCACTCACTCACCATCACTCACTCACTCACTCACTCATTCACTCACTCACTCACTCACTCACTCACTCACTCACTCACTCACTCACTCACTCACTCAAACACACACACACACACACTTGCACACACACACACACACACACACACACACACACACACACACACACACACACACACACACACACACACACACACACACACACACACACACACACACACACTTGCACACACACACACTTGCACACACACACACACACACACACACACACACACACACACACACACACACACACACACACACACACACACAACACACACACACACACACAACACACTTACACACACACACACACACACTCACTCAAACACACACACACACTTGCACACACACACACACTTGCACACACACACACACTTGCACACACACACACACTTGCAGACACACACACACACACACACTTGCACACACACACACACACACTTGCACACACACACACACACTTGCGCACACACACACACACATTTGTCTTAAATCAGATATGCGTTTTGTCATTTTTGAAGTCTTATTTTTTCTTTTTTATCTTGCTTGTGATCACAGATTCAGGTGTATGTGTGCCATGCCTTGATGCAAAGAAACTCCCGTGACCGACTCTCCGCAAGATCTACCAACGCCAAAAAGAAGCCATGGAGATAATCAGAAAGAAAATTGCTCTGGAAAATGCCCGCAGTCTCAGGTCTACGCTGGCAAAGGAGGTATGAATAGTTTTGTACAATAGTTCCTGTTGTCTTGAAACAGAGATCGATATGATTTCATCTTGCATGCTTAATGTAATAGTGTGATAAGTGCAGGGTAATAATCTCTTTGTCAGACTGAAGAGTACACGGTTCAGAAGTGGCGGAAGATGTACATGGAAGCCCACAGTCCTTTGGTTATGCCGATGACACGGGAGCAAGTTGTCGATGCCGCTCAAGCCAGGGGAGTTCAAGTTACGTTAGAAAAACTTCAGTAATACATACAGGTAGGAGTGATTGCAAGTGAGCTCACATATCAACTTTGGTGTTTATTCTTTACCTCTCTTATCTTTATTCTTGTCTCTGCTCCTTTTCTCTCCTTGCTGTTGTTCCCTATGTGTGTATTGTGTATTTTATTTTTATATATATATTTATTATATATATATATATATATATATATATATATATATATATATATATATATATATATATATATATAATATATATTTATGTATATGTATGTATTTATGTATATATCTGTATATATAGTTCTGCATTAAGGAAGATCTGTTCTACTTTTTTCCCCCCATATCAGATTTGCAACAGAAATGGTATAGAAAGTGAGGCTCTTAGAATGGCCTGATCTACTTAGTGATACAGTTATATAATTTTAGATACTTTTAGGTAAATAAACATTTTTAAGGAAAAAAGGAAAAAATAGAAAATGTATATATTGATATATCTATGTCTGTCTATCTCTTTCAAAAAACAAGAATGAAAATAAACTG